ACCATCGATATGCTCCGCAGGACTCTCGTGCACTCCTGGCTGCTGTTGCTGTGGCAGCTGCCCCTCCGTCCATGTGTTGCGACCTGCGACCTCTGCTGACAGCTTCTAACCGTCCCTTCTACTTTCCTATTCTTTATTCCCCTTACCCCTTTCCTCTAAGGCCCTGCGCCATGTCTCCCAAGAGGCAGACAGAAATTAGGTGCCTTCTTCCTTTTTTTAGAATCACGCAACAACAACAACATATAGAAGAGGGCTCAGCTGCGTCAGAAAGACTTCTGTTAACGCACTGCAACGGATACAAGGGGCCAGGCCTTTAGTTGCTCAGTCTTTTCCCAATTAAAACGCGCCCTCCCTTTGACAAATCGGCGCGTGGTCTAGAATGATCGAAGTTCGTCACAAGGATGCAAGTGTTGAGTCAGCGTTGATTCTGCATCGTTGAAAATGCTTGTTAACTGAGCTATCTCGAATTTACGCTTCAATTTGAGCGCTTACATTTTGCGTCTTCATGTTCAACAGCTGGAAGTGGATCTCTCCTCTTCCTTTCTTTCCTCCTCCTCCTCCTCCTTTTCTACAACAAGAGTGCCGTTGTTGTCCGCCACCGCTGCTGGTATCCGTAACCAACATCGCGCGAAGTAACAAAAAGAGTAAATAAAAGTAAAATATCCAAGATGGAATGCGGTTACTCTTCGGGTCTTCTCCGTGGCGGCCCCTTATCTACGACAGAGCTATGCCATTTTTTCTGGCATGTGTCACAAACGTCTGCAATCTTCGTTTCGCCCGCACGCCCTATCATCCATGGAAGGGCGCTTTTGTGTTGGTAAGATAACATCCGGCGACTGGCGACGCAGCGGCTGTGCCACCGCGTCTTGCCTACACCTGTATCGAAAGGAAAAACATGTGTCGAGGAATAAAGAAAATGACCCCGGGAGGAGATGGGACGTCCCGAAAGACTTTGGACAACATCGGAAGGAGCAGTTCACATGCAACCAGCAAGACGCGTGGTCGTCGGTGTCATGAGGCTTGCGTAGGCGGCGAGTATGAAGTGACCCGCGCAACGTATTGAGACGGCTGCAATTCAGGGTACCCTTGTCGTCTACTAAGCTGGCGAGATCTTCAGCGACAACCCGTCAACTCCCCTACGAGTACCAAGAGCTGGCGTGGTCCATATAAAACTTTTATTGTGACTTTTTCAAACTGTTATTTTACTATAACCAGCTTTTAATTCACTGTAGTTGTGTGCGCTGCGTCGCACGTCGAAGCTCAGAAGCACGAACCTGAGTTTTGTTAGTAAATTTTCTTTGTCCCTCCTGTAGTTTAATCATGTTGTTATTTCAACAGTATTCCGCGCATTTGTCCCTTGTCTACCTCTGGTAGTGTTCTTTTATTGCAAAGTTTGTTATGTAGCTGTTCTTTCCATCACGTGAACTTTACGTTTTCCTCTCTGTTATTTTTTGTATTCTCCTTGCCATTGTCCTATTTTGATTAAATGTTTGCCTCGTTTAATCCAATGTTCGCGTCAGCTCTTTGAGTACGTCGCTCGGGCCCATACATCTCCACACGTGCAACCCCACATGGGTCGACCAACCTGCAAATAAATTTGAGATGTGCCACTTCAAGGCCTTTCAGGCGTTGCAGGCCGAAGCGTAAAGTGAAAGCCTGCGAGTCTGCCGCACGTCAATTTTAGATCGGCGGGGCCTCACTCGAAGTGTGTGACAGCATGGTACTTCATATGCTGTGTTTTTGAAAATAATACAAATGATATGACATAGTGATGCATTGCATTCATGCAGTGACAACAGGCATTTATAGTTTGAAGTTAGCGTGATAGCAAGAATATAAACAATAGTGCTACCGTGCCGCAAACGTTTGTTTTGAACAGGCCTTTTTAGTTTAGCAGATTAGCGTTTACGTGCCCCAGATGGGACGGTGGCGTCGCCTAGCGGAGGGAGAATAACCTAAACAAACAGTGAAACTAAAGCGGGAATGTTTGCGTGTGTCACTATGTGAAGCATTGTAACAAGTTATTTAAGTAATGAATAATATTTAACCAAACGCGAAAATGTTTATGTCGCCAATTTCTTTACATTGATCTTCTAGTTAGGCCTATAGACATTCGAAATTGGAAGCTATCTCCAAATATACGTGAACTAATTCATAATACTCAGTCGCCGAAGCTACCCGAAGGCAAGCGAAGCCGTTTTATCCAGTGGTTTCCTGCGAACAAAAAGAATCTTTGAACTACTATGCCGAATTCCCTTCGAAGCGGGTGTGTGAAACCGCCTCCATGTTTTAAGAGCTGTACGTAAACCGCGATAAGACGGTAATGGTGAATCTGAAAAATAGTGTGCCTACCGCGAGCGGTAAAGGTGACGTATGTTACTGCACATGTGCACTTTGATCCCGCTATCACGGTAAGCGCGCGAAAATACAACTTTCTAATGATCGCACAAGTCATGCACGGGCATTCAAAGGCTTACACACACACATACCTTGAAAGTCCAGAAAAAAAGCAAAAGGTCTTCAGGACCTGTCGCACCGGGAGGGTGGTAGTGTTAAGCACCTCATCAAGATAAGTGCCTGTCTGGTTATATGTCAAGCTCTTCATAACGTCCTTTCTATGGAGAGTCATTTGCATGAAAAAATGTATACTTGAAGCAGTAAATGGTTCTGCATTGCGGTTTTGCAAGAAGAGCGTTTTCCCCTGAAATGTTCTGTCCCCTAAAAAAAACTTATCAAAGGACGCCTCATCAAGAGACATTGGTGGAAGGTATACCGTATCGTAAACGAATTAATGGTAAAAATTTTTAAGAGTTTGTTGAAGGATATATACCAAAAAAGATTGGCATATTTACAGCTAACAAAACAGTGTTCTAGTGTAAATGGTACTTTGCGGAGACAACAATTAGCTGAAGAAACTAAAATACCTTTCTTTTGTAACCATAATTTCAAAGCCCGTCTACCAGTACAAAAGATATAAAAGAAGGTGTTTGTATTAGAAGAAATATACAATTGCCTAACTCGTCTTAGTACATGACGTCTTTGAAGGTTGAATTATATTTAGAGGTTGAAGAAGCGCACATAGTCTTTACATAGTCTCCTGCGTTATAGTGTGTACGAATATTTTATGGAAAACGGGACCTTGAGAAAGGAAACAGTGATGAGAACTTCCTGCATATCTTCACAAACAAGGACGTATAGAAAAAAATCTTAAGAAACAAATAAGTCAGGCAAGCCATTAACAAAAATAATCTGCACAAATGATCGAATTGTGGGATGGGAACTGTCGCGAAAAAGTCCGAACCACCAAAATGTTTGCCATGGATATAAGGGAACTAATCTCAGCCGTCCCTCCCTTACTGTTCTGAATAACTTGACTCGTATCATTTGCTAAAAAGTCGAGGACGACACAAATATTGCGAAAATACGATGAAAGCGTTCTATGTAAGGTGTAGCGCAAGGACCAAGTTGAAATGCATAAAAAATGTTTTAGTTGAGAATTGTTTCGCAAGCTTCAGCTTTCCCAAATATAGAAAGGTGATGTGGAACGGAAGTATGGACCTGTAGTTTAGGGACGCTTCTTTTCCCGTAAATCTGTTCGCATTTAGCAGCACTCCAAATTACTTTGGTGGAATACGAGTCCAATCGATTCCCAAGGACTTGTCTGGCGTACTACCCCATGTTCTAAATCATAATGATAAAGCTTTGGGTTAGTTTAGTTTTATAAACTTCTGCGCACAAAAACCCCATAGAAACGTTAGGTCGGGAAGGAGTAGAGTTCGTGTTAGAACAGTAAGATAACAACCAGGTGCTACAGAATTGAAACTGTGTAACAAGGTTTCACTTAATATAGGTTGCGCAACGAGTGGATCGTCGTGTACTTCCGACCAATTACAAAGGGCTTAGCCCCATTTAATGCGCTCTTCTAACTTTTGATGTGAGTGTGCTGCGCTTTCCGCGCAGGCCTGGTGGTGTTTTAGTGAAAACTTTCAGGTCAAGATTGTGCATTTAGCATCGTTTATGTTTTAGAGTCGTAACAAATAAATTTTCGAAACCATGGTAATTTCATTACAGTGAAGTACAGTCCAAACTATACAATATAACAGTTTTATTGCAAGAGCAAGTAGGTCGTGATTTATAAATTATGTTTTTTTAACTCACGTTTAGCCCTCAGCTGAAATGTCCTCTGAAATTGTCCTCTTAAATTGCAGAATAGAAATCGAGGAAGAATCACACTGTTTACTATTGTCGCAAAACATCTCTAAAAATTAGGGCACCCTAAAGCTTTGTCTTTAGGAGTTGAGCGCGATCGCAACATTCTGTGCATAGGCGTTTCGCAAACACTTAGTGCATGAAACCTTTTAGAATTTGCTATGCAGCCACTATACGTGGTCATCAGGGAATAGGCGCAGTAGAGCGTGTGTGCCTTTGTAGTGGGGTGGTAGCTTTCAACCACGGAGCCATTATGATAATTACATATTTTGACGCCTGTGGGCAATGGATCCTTGTCCCTCGCATTATTACTTCAATATTTCATGTTGCATTGCAAACGCGTTTACAGGACGCCTATATATGTTTGCGAAGCGCGCAAGCTACTTCGTTGCATTTCCAAGTAAGGGAAGTTCGTTTTACTGCTTCACTTGCAGAAGCGTGGCCCTGTGGCAGAACATCCAATTGACACGCATACAACCCGGGTTCAATTTCCACTCGAACCCAAACAACCGTGGTTTAGTCGCCACTCTGCCCCCAGGTTTTTATTCATGTATTTATTTTTTGCCTCATTCTCGATTTTTCGATCACGCATAAGATGAGTTTTTGCTCACAGCCAACGACGCGGACTCCAACACCGAAAATTCTGCGAAACGAGCTTTTCAACGCTATCGCGTTAAATTAGAAATACTTCACTATAACCTAATAAATTTCATAGCTAGGTGTCACCAAGAACATACGAAAATAGTAGACAGCCTATAAACACTCCATATGACCAATATGCCCTGTTTCAGGTGAATGGCACATTTTATGAACGGCACCTCTATGAAAACCCTTACCTTAAAGCATCATTGTTAGTTAAACCACACAGAAGAGGACACTATCATATTGTAAGTTACTGTTTTTCTATTTTGTTTTATTCTCAGTAAAACAAACGAAGAAATTTGTCTGCCAGGTGGGCGTCATTAATTCAACGCATTATATAAAACCATTAAGAAACCAGATGGATTTCAAGGGAAGAACACGGCATATTATACAGAAGATTCCATCCTCGCAAGGTCACACCTGCCAGAATACGATAGGTTGGTGAGCTTTTCGTCATATTACCATAAAATTTCGAAAATCAACATGGTAGCTGACAAATGGAATTACGCAGTGGCATAATCAGGATGAACAGTTGAAGTGACTCAGGCAGGCTGGCTGACGTCTCGATAGGAGGACCTATTTTGTCAAACGTGCCCTTGCTTGGCTTGTTAGTTTTAAGGGGGTTAGTAGGGACTTAATTTCCAGGTGGAGGTTCGTGTCCCTGTTGGCAATCGCCGCCTGAAAAAAAAACAATAAAGCAGAGGAGCTCGATCCCCGTTTTCAATCACCACCACCAAACTTGAAATGAAGTGAGGAGAGGACTGCACTCGTCTGCTTTATAGTTTTTATAGTTGTTTCATAGCTCCATGCCTCATCAATTGCATAATGCAAAACGTTTTGAAGGCTAGACTTTGGCATTAACTAATCATTAAGGAAAGAAAGTTCGTTACACAAAAGAAATGGCAGATCCCACGTGCAGTGGGAATCGATGATATGCGAAGCATGAATGAGGAAGGTTGATGTGTAACTTTAAAATCAGCACAACGTTATGAGGTGGAGGTAAATGATGTCGTACATGACTTCCGTGTCGTTATTATCATGTTTGGATGTGTCATTTACCTCCGTCATCTATTATGTTACGGGATACCAAATTTAGTATATGTGGAACTACTTCGTCACCCATTGATGTCACGTAATACCAAATTTGGTATATGTGGAGCTAGCGAAACGGCCGTGAGCGCATCATGAAGGGCTCTACATACTCCAACGTAACGTTGACGCACGCGAACTCTGGGCACAGTGACGCTACGTTAGTAAAACGTGAGCATTCTATAGTCTGACGCCAGGCGCGACCGGCGTGACCAGCGTCTGTCGGCGCGGCATCACTATAGCGCGGAATGGCGGCAACCGGCGCGAAATGCGACATGCTGCATTTCGCGCCGATGCGTTGCACAGCACTGCATTTACCTCTTTTTGTGACGGAGGGACGCCGGATGCGCTGAAGAGCGCAAGCGTCGAAGAGAGAGAGAAACTTTTTATTTCAAGCATAGAAAAATGCCGGGTGGGGCTCTCAGACCAGAGCTCCAACAGTCGCTGCTGCGTCCCGCGCCCGCTGAACCAGCGCCCACTGGCCACTCCGGCTTTCATCACGCAGCATGGCCTCCCAGTCTTGTAGGGTAGAGGTTCGCCGAGAAAATTGGTTATGTCGCTTGGTTTACGATCGCACCCCCACGATATGTGGTAGAGAGTCGGTCTTCCGCCGCACCACGGACATACAGCCGGGTAAAGAGTTGGATGTATCGCGTGTAACTTCAGTAGGTGCGGAAATACATCCGTTGAATTTTTCTAAGGTCAGTGGCCTCTTCCCCATTAAGGGATCTGTGAGGTGTTCCACATTTTTGACGCGTGAAGCGCTGGTGAGCTAGAATCTCCCTAGGTAAAATTGGCATGGTCAATGAAAGAGATGGATTCTCCGCTCGGTTACAAAACGCACGAGCTAGAGCGTCCGCCCTTTCATTGCCTTCGAGACCTGCGTGTCCCGGGCACCAGATCAAGCGATGGTGGTGAGTGAGTTTGGATCCTAGCAGCCTCAGCCCCATTGCTGGAAGGCGGCCCCTTAAAAAGAGCCGGCAGGCTTCCTGGGAGTCGGATAAAATAACTGATGGCTCCCCTCTACGCTCCTGAAACCTTAAGGCTAAGGCTATGGCCATCGTCTCCGCCTTTGTAGCCGAGGTCGTGCGTACGGAGGCACTCGTTAGCAGCGTCATGTTGTTATCGACAACAGTAATTATGTGTCTCTGCCAATCGAAACTGGCCGCATCGACGTACGCGACATTGGAAGCTGAGCCGAATTGCTTTCGAAGCCAGCTTACCCTCGCAGTACGTCGCTCAGCGTGAAAGTCGTGATGCATATTTTTGGGCACCGGTGCGATTGAGATTCGCCTGCGAACCTCTTGGGCTACGTCGACCAGCTCCTCATCAATGTGCTGTGGGTGGGGCGAAATTCCTATTCTAGTGAGTATCGCCCTGCCTGCTGAAGTTTCACTTAGACGATTCCTCTGAGACATGAGGACTGCGGCACTGAGCTCAGCATAAGTGTTATGTATACCGAGAGCTAGGAGCCGCTCGGTCGGTGTGCTGGTGGGTAGACCAAGTGCTGCCTTAAAAGCGCTTCTAATGAGCACATCCACCTGGCTCTCCTCACTTCTGTCGAGTGAGTGGTACGGTAGGCCATACGTCACTCTGCTCAAAACTAAGGCCTGGACAAGCCGGAGAGTATCCTTTTCTTTCATGCCTTTTTTATGATAAGTGATGCGACGGATCATTCTAGCTATCTGTTTAACCGTAGTCTTTAAGGTGGTTATCGTGTGACTGGCTTTGCCATTGCTTTGGACCCAGAAGCCAAGTATACGGGCCTGAGTAACCTCGGCTATGGCATGGCCGTCTACCTGTAAGTTTATGTCACCGTTACTTTTGTAATACTTACTGTGTATTCTTATGAGTTCAGATTTTTCAGGCGCACAGCTCAGCCCACTATTTCTTGCGAACTCTGCCACAGCTGTCGCAGCAGCCTGGAGGGTCTGCTCTTTCAGCGCCAGTGAACCCTTCGTAGCCCAGAGTGTGATGTCGTCCGCATACAATGTATATCCAAGGTGCGGGATTGCTTCGAGCTCGTGAGCAAGTCTGCGCATAGCTATGTTAAAGAGCAAGGGGGAGATGACTGCCCCTTGCGGTGTGCCTTTATTTGGCATCGAGAACGGCACCGACCTCGTGTCGCCTATCCCAATAGTTGCCGTCCGCCCAGAGAGGAAGGATTTAATGTAGTTAAATGTACGCTTTCCGCAGCCGATTGTGTTGAGTTCAGAGAGAATGGCCTCGTGCGAAACATTATCAAAGGCCCCTTTGAGGTCGAGGGTCAAGACCAAATGTTCGCCTCCCCTGGGTACGCAACTCATGACCTCTTCTTTTAAAAGGAGGAAGGCATCCTGGGTTGAGAGTCCGGAGCGAAAACCAATCATGGTAGCGGGAAACAGATTTTCTTTTTCAATGTAATTTTGAAGCCGTGTCTGTACTACTCGCTCGTAGAGCTTGCCCATGCACGAAGTAAGCGAAATGGGCCGCAGGGCTCCGAGCGATGGTGCTTTACCGGGCTTTGGTATAGTTATTATTTTGGCTTCCTTCCACTCCGGAGGAACGTGACCTTGGGACCAGCAGTGGTCGTTAAGAAAGTGCGTTATCTGCTCAAGAACCTCAGTGCTGAGGTTTCTTATCATAGCGTTTGTTATACCATCCGACCCCGGCGCAGAGTTCCGATTGGCTGCCTGGGCTGCCGCGAAAACCTCTTCTTTCGTGATTGCGGCGTCTAATGTGGCATTCTCGCTGCCGATGTACTCTAATGTACATGGCGGAACCACATCAGTACCGATATAACGGTCTTTAAGCGCCTGGATCAACTCTCCGTCGGTGCCGGGGTAGCTGTGTACTATTCTTTGAAGAATGCGGTTCATGGAGGACTTAGATTTGTCCGGCTCCAGCATGGACCTCAGTATCGCCCACGTCTGGCTAGTCCCTAGTGTACCGCGGAGAGAACCGCAAAACTGCACCCAACCATCGGTGGCAAGTTTCGTTGCGTATTCATTCGCTTCCTCCGACAGAGCAGCGATTCGCCTGTAGAGGCAGCGGTTGAGGCGTTGTTTTTTCCATCTCTTGATCAGGCGTCGCCTACTATCCCACATGTGCAATAGGTGCCGGTCTATCGCAGGCGCCTCAACTGTGCGCGCTATTTTCTTAGAGGTGGCATCATGCGTTTCTCGAATGAAAGCAACCCACCCACTGACATCACAGGGCGTTTGCTCCGGCAGAGGGCGCTTTCGAAAGGTCACCCAGTCTGTCATCACAACGTCCCCAGCGACACGACGAACTTTTGGTGATGCTATAGAGGTGCTAAGAATATAATGGTCACTACCAAGGTTTTCATCGAGGTTTGACCACGTGGCATTTTTAATGTTGAAGGTGAAGGTCAAATCAGGGTACGTGTCCCTGCTAATGCTATTACCAAGCCTGGTGGGTGCTGTTGGCAGAGTGATAAGGGTAAAACCTAATTTAGACGTGGTGTTCTCTAATAACACTCCCTTGGGTGAATCCCGGACGTAGCCCCAAGCGGTGCTCGGAGCATTAAAGTTCCCTAAGGTTGTTGTGTACACCTATGGCTAGGAGACGGTTAATGGATGTGTACGTAAGTAGTCCAAGCGCCGCCTTGACGACTCTATGGAGGAGAATGTGCAGTCTTCTCTCTTGTGCAAGCGTAAGGGTTTGATAATGCACGTGGTAGGTGATGCGACTTACTATGTAGGCATTAACTATACGTAGAATGTCTTGTTCCTGAAGTCCATGCCTTCGGTTGGTGATGCGACGGATCATATGCGTGATTTGAGAAACTTGCTGTTCTAACATTTTCATGGTGTGCGTTGCCTTGAGATCAGCTTGTATATAAAGGCCAAGGACGCGGAGTTTCTGTACGCAGAGAATTACATGGTTCTCTAAGGTGACTGCGATTTACAGGCTGTTGTCGGGCTTTCGCTGGGGACGACGAATGAGTAGAAGTTCTGACTTATTTGCAGAGCACGTTAGACCACCTGCTCGTGCGTATGCTAGAATTGTATTTACTACTTCTTGGAGGGCATCTTGTATTTGTCCGTCTTAGCATTTGGTCCCCCATGTAGTGACGTCGTCCGCATATAAAGCATGTCGCAGACTGGGAACAGTGGCGTCTAGAGGTGGTAACTTAGCCATGGCGATGTTGAAGAGTGTCGGGAATAACAGCGATCCTTGCGGCGTGCCTTTATCCGCGAGCTTCATGATGTAACTGCGAAGAGAGCCTAATCCTATGGGTGCCGTCCTGTTTGTTAGGAATGCTTTCACACCGTCATAAACTCATCGTCCGCAGCGTGTTGACCCGAGATTCTCCTGTATTAGGTCATGCGAGATGTTGTCAAAC